AATTTGCCTAAGGACAGGAATCCAGGGGCTCCTTTACCTGCAAGACAAGGAAGTGGGATGCTGCGCAATTAAGATCTAAAGGTAAACTTGAACGTTCTGAGGAGGTTGAGTTCCAGCCCTGACTCAACCTTACCCCCCTGTGTGACCTTAGGTAACTCACCATCCCTCTCTGGGCTTCAGCAGCTCGGGATCAGAGGAGGGAAGAAGAGCCACGGTCCCCGAGAAAGCTGTCATGATGCCATTCTCCTTGCATGGTTAAAAGTCACAGTCGTCTCCTAGTCTGTCTGGGTCAAGGCTGTGCTCACAGGGCCCTCAGGCAGGGCCCCTGCCCCAAGACAGACAGATTACTTGATGGACGCAAGGGAGTTGACTCGTAACTCAGGCATTTTCATTTGTTTCATTCACTTCTGTGTCCTCAGTGCCTAGAACAGGGTCTGGAACCTAGTGGGTGCTCGACACCTACCAACTGAATGAAAAATGAGTGGGGAGAGGATTGATGGGCAATCCTGAAAGCCAGGCTGGATGGCTGACCTGAGATGGGTGTCCTTGGGGACCTGCCCCGCTGGCCACGGAGCCATCAGGGATGGAAGGAGGGAGGTGAAGGGAAAGGGGGTGCCGGTGAAGAGTATGTGTAGGAGACTGGGGGTTGCAGCTGCTGTGTGCACCCTGAACAGGTCAGGGGGTAGAGGGGTGGTCCTAGGGCCTTGAACCTGTGCTGCATGTTTTACCCATATTATGTTATTGGAGCTTCACTCGAATCCTGGGAGGACAGTATCATCGCCCCCATTTTATATACAAGACAATGACCTCCAGGAGGGAGGAAAATGTGCCCCGAGGTCACATAGCTTTTAAGTGGAGGAGTTAGGGATTTGAAGGCAGGGCTGTCTGATTCCCGAACCCTTGACTTTGACGTTATACGCTACAAGTGTTTCTCTCCCTAAACTTCTTTCAGTGGAAAGGAAAGAGTCCAGTTTTGCTGTGTGTGCATCTTGGGAGGTATCCCAGCACGGCCCCTAAAACACCTCTGACTATGAATGTTGGGCTGGGAATGGGCCATCGGCTGGTGATGGATCCCCACCGTCCATCACAGTCCCGTGGTGCTCCGACATGCAGTGCTGAAGTGTAATCAGAGCGATGGTGTCCTGATCTATGGGGGACGTACATCATCCCAGGGCTGGTACCTTGACATAGTACCTTAGCTTGCTGTCAGCGGGACGGCCCCTTAATGTATTTCCGTAATATATCACCCACTGAAGGTGGCCAAGGAGGCCTGCGGATGCCAGTCAGCTAGAGCCCTTTGCATGAGTCTCCCTGAGTTAGTTCTTGGTCTCTTAAAATTCACGCGTGCTTGTGGAATTTGTGTGAGCACAGAGAGAGCAGAAAAGAAGGGGGCAGAAGCAGAGAGAAGCCGAAAGGCTAAAGGCGAGAACAGAGGTGGGGAGGAGGGAGGAGAATGCAGGCAGCAGAGGGAAGTAGAGGAGGGAGAGAACAAAGAGAGGGGGGAAGGAATGGGGAAGGGTGGGGTGTCCAGGGCTGGGGTACCTGAGCTTAGAGAACAGGAGGGTCAGGGAGCAGTGCAGAGGTACTTGCTTTGTAGCTGGGCACAGATGTGATGTGAGGAACCCTTGTATTTGACCTCCTAGGGGTCTCGTTCTCCTGGGGACTGGACAGGAGGAGCGAGGACACATGGGTGATGGCAGGACTGGAAACTTCTCCTGCTCCCTTCACAGAGTGCAAAGGGGCTGTGTGGTCTGCCAGGAACTTTCTCATTCTGTCTCCCTTGCTCCAGAAGTCATCTCGGTGGGAAGGATCCCCAGCCCCCCATGTCTACCCACCCACTGGATAGCTTTACTCAGCTAGCCCAACAGCACCACCCACTCAGAGGACCCCACACTGTGGTCATCTGTCCATGCCTGGTCTCCCTCCCTTCTTACTGCAGCCAAAGGGCTCTCCAGGTTCCAGTGCCTGAGATCTGGTGGTCATGTCCTCTCCAAGAGCCCTGCATTCACACCCGTCAATTCTTTTCCATTTTTGTTGCCTTTATCCTAGTGCACATCAGCAAATATTGGGCCAGCTCTCAATCAAATATTAAGAACATACTCTGTCCCAGACACCGTGTTGGGGGGCAGCCTGTGCATGTGCTCAGTCTCTCCCCTCATCAACCTATTCTGCACATCACTACCTGATTGGCCTTCCTAAAGAACCCGTCTGTTGTGTCACTTTTTAATCACTAACATTGCAAAGAAAGGGTTCCCTACCACCAACTGGATGTCTTTGTGCTACCCTTAAGGACTGTAAAGAGCCGAATGGGAGCGTGATAGGTGCCTCTGCCGGTAGGTGCCTCTGAGGGTCTACACCCAGCCTGGAGGGGTGTGGCCCGCGTTGTCCACCGCTCCACAGCGTGACTTCTCTGCAGAGCTGATGGAGAAGGAGGTGAGAAGAATGCGTAACTCTGGTATAAGGTCAGGGGGCCCCACAGTGCCCAGTCTCACTGTGCCATCACGTTAAACCATAATCTAGAAACACAGGGCACCTGGGTGGCTTGGTTGGTCAAGCATCTGCCTTCGGCTTAGGTCATGATCCCAGGGTCCCAGGATCCAGTCCCGCCACGGGCTCCCTGCCCCTGCTTGTCTCTCGGCCCCTACTCCCCAGCCCCGCTTCTCACTTACTCTCTCGCTCAAATGAATAAATAAAATCTCTAAAAAATTAGAAAATACAATAGAGCCCATTTCAGTCTTTACTGGATCTCTGACAGGGCATTAAAGGAAATCCACGTTTTGACCCTCCTTAAAATTCCATTGTCTTTCCTTCCATCCTCTTAGCCCTGTAGCAGCTCCATAGCCTCTCCCCATCTAAACACACTTCACGCTCTCCCACCAACTCTCTTCTCAAGATCAGGTGTGTCTGCGTCACGCTCTTCTTCCTCCTCCTCTTCCAGCTGCCCCTTAATTTTGTATAGCAACTTAATCGCCTTGGGTTTCTTATATTCTTTTCGCTTCATGCATTATTTGGGTTCTCCAAAAACACAGGGGAGTCTGAAAGCCGACCCAGCAAGCCTGTGGGTTCCAACACCAGCCCTTGGAAAGGCTACCTTTACTGCATTGAACTGCTTTTGCCCCTTCATCAAAATCAATTGAGCATACTTACTTGGGTCTGTTTCTGGGTTCTCTGACATGTACTATTGATCTGGCTGGCTATCCCTCTGCCATCGCCATCCAGTCTTGATTACAGTGAGCACCTAAGCCTGAAATTTGATTCCTCCCATTTTACTCTTCTTTTTAAACATTGTCTTAGCTGTTTTCATTTTTTTTTTCTTTTCCTATACATTTTAGAATTGTCTTGTTTACAAAAAAACCTTGCTGGGATTTCGATAGGAATTGTGTTAAATCTGTAATCAGTTTGGAAGAATTGACAATTTTATGAGGGTGAGTCTTCCTATCCACGAATACAGCATGTTTCTCCATTTATTATCTTTGATTGCTTTCATCCACACTATATAGTTTCAGCCTATAACTCTTATTTTATTTACACTCTAAGTATCCCTTCTTGGGGGGGGAGCAATTACAGGTGGTATTGTATTTACCATATTGCTGTCTATGTGTTCATTGCTAGTACATAGAAATAGAATAGATTTATATATATATATCTTGAATTATCTTTTTTCTTCTGTTTCTTGTCTCTGTTTTGAGTTTCTCCATTCTCTTTTTATTGCCTTTCTGTGAGTTACTTGAACAGTTTTTTGGAAAGAAAAGTGAGCAGGCACTGGGGCTGAGGGACCCCCACCCTGCCTGGCCCTGGGCATAGAGGTTGTCAAGCCAAAACCTGCAGAGCTCAATTCCCAGTATGAGCTCACTGAGTAGTGACTTGCTTCTTTGTCCACTAGGTGAGTGGCAGATAGAATCCTCGGTCTTCAGAGGTTTCGTGTCTTCTTAGTCCCAAAGAGTGGTTCCTGTGGTGTCACTTTAGGCACTGAGTAAGCTGGACTGCAGGAGGTGATCGGAGGAGCAAACACGGACTTCATTCAGGATGGACTTGACTCAAAGACACAATGCATAGGAGAATGCTTTTCCCTGAGCCCAGCCCAAGGGGCAGTTAAGGAAGGGCTGTATTCTGGTGGAGGGAGCTCCACATCTTGGTGGGGGCTGAGGCAGATGAAAGAAATTTAACTGTTTAGTTGATAAAATATTCCATTTCACCAGGGGGTACAAAACAGGACAAGCCTGAGAGAGGGAGTTGGGGCATCAGGGTGATTTCTCAGGGGTGGGAGAGGGATACTGACTCCAGGGGGAGGAAGGTGGGAAGAGGAAGCCATCCTGGGACCTGGAGAGAACCGACTGACCAACCAGCATGTCCGCTTTCCTTAGCCACAGGCCTCTGGGGCTGCTACCAGAGAGGATAAAAATCACACGTGAAATTTAGTAGCTACTCATTTAGTAGCTGCTACTCATTTACGAGACAAAGAATGGGAATTCTGAGGATCTGTGTCTGCCCTGTCACAGGTTAACAAGGGGGCAGAGTTGAGTCCCGTCTAAGTCATGCGGGAAAGGATGGTACTGAATTGCAATGGCCTTTTCTGGAACAAAAAGGCTCGAGCCTGAGGTTTCTTTAACCCTAGAGGCTTCCCAGGGTCACAGGTGCAGGAAATAATCAACAGTGTCAGGCTCATCCTATAAATTGAGTTTAATCCTGCAGGAAACCTGGAACAAACCCAGCATTTCTCCAGGAGGACCATCCAATCCGGGACCTCAGCAGAGCGACACGTCCCCCCCACCCCCGCCCGCGTCCCCGTCGCCTCCTCCCTGTCCCCCACCGCGGTGAGTTGCTCTCCGCGAGAGAGCGAGCCCTGAGCGCTGGGGGGCGGGGCCAGGGCCGGGGCCGGGCCGGGGGCGGGGCCGGGGCGGGGCTTTTCCAGCCTGGGCAGTGGTCCTGGGCCCGCGGCTGCCCGCCTAGCTCAAGCATTAGCTTCCCTCCTCCCACACCCCCCATCCTCCCAGCTCCTGGCCGCCCCCTTCCCTGCCTGCCACACAGCTGTTTTGCCAACATTGCTGCCTGATTATCTTTCAAGTGGCTTCTTGGAGCAGATGTTCCGGCTCCTTCCTGCATCGAAAACAAACAGGCGCTCTGTTGTCGTTTGCTCTCCTGGGGAAAATCCCTCTGCTGCTGCAGATTCTTCTTGAGAGGTTCAGGGACTTCTGTGAAGTCTTTCCCAGCTGCTCCTTGCCAGGAATTTGCCTCCAGATGGATGACAGGGGCTCCTCAGGTCTTCCGAGGTGTGTGGCCCTTCCTGGACGTGGGCTGGGGGAGTACACTTGTAACAGAAATCGGATTCAGACCTAGGGGAAGCCAGTGGAGGTGGGTGGGGGGGGGGACTCACTCCTGTCACCGCCTTCCCATAATATTTAACCTTTCGAAAAACGTAAACATCTCACCAACTTGGATTCTGAAAGATCCCCCAGCGGTTTGTCCCCAGTTGAAAATCTCTGTTTGTTTTCAGGAACCTCACCAACAAGGAAATGTTGCTGGCTTGCTTTTTGAGGTTTGCGTTATGAAAGCCATAGGTTTCCAGTTTCTGTTTTATGAATGTGAAAGTTGAACGTGTCTTTCAAAAGGTGCCCATTCCATAACCTCTCCCTGTTGAGGTTCAGGGCTCTGGCTCCACCAGACAGCAGCTTGGCCAATGGTCAGGATGACCCCTGGGATGCCAGGAAGTGACATCTTGTCACCCTGTTTTGTGTGTGTAAGAAATGGCGGCCTCAGCAACTCACTCCTAGAGGTGAGGCCCCGGGGGTGCAGGGGGGAGGGGGCCTCCAGCTCCTACACCAGTTGGTTGTGGCCTGTTAAGGGCTCTGGTTGGAGAGGGGAGAGACAGCAGCTGGGACAAGCCTGGGGTAAGGGGTAAGGAGCTGGGGCATCAGGGTGATTTCTCAGGGGTGGGAGAGGAATACTGACTCCTGTGAGAGGAAGGTGGGAAAAGGAAGCCATCTTGGGACCTGGAGAGAACCACCTGACCACCAGCATGTCTGCTTCCCTCAGCCAGAGGCCTCCTGGGGCGGCTACCAGAGAGGATAAAAATCACGTGTGAAATTTGATCTGTCCCCAAACGTTCATTGATTTGGCAACAGATCTTGCTATGGCCCATTCCACTCCCCCACTTTGTCATCTAAGTGTCCTCCTCTGGCCCGTTCAGTTCTCACCCCACTCCACTGGGGCCCAGCATTGCCCAGAGGCGTGAGCCCTGCCACACGGGGTGTGGGGGCTGTCCCGTGCTTACCCGGTGTAGCAGAGGGGGGCGCACTTGACCACATGTCCTGATATCCCCTCATCTCTCCCCGAAACTAGTTCATCTAGTTTTGTCTAGGTGAGACGCCAGCCTCCCCCGATTCTTCCTGTCTCTCTGGCTACTCCCTCTCTGTCACCTTTGCTGGCTTTTCCCTCTTCAGGGGCAAATGACCACGTTTCTCAGTGAGAGAGGTAGTGCCCTCTTTTCTGTCTGTAGACCGGGGTTTCGCACGTGTTAGCATGCAAACACTCCAGGGTGGCTGCTATACATGTGGGCTCCGGAGCCCCACCCCAGGGCTCTGTCTTGGTGGCCCTGGGGGGGCCCAGCAAGCGCCCAGAGGGATTCCAGGGCCAGGAGCCCACGGAACGTGCTTTGATAGAGTTCTGCATTGCACCCCTGCATATATGATTTTCACAGTATTTATATGCTGACAACTCCTCAGTTGATATTTCCAGCTCAGGCTCTCCTCAGATCTCCAGGCCTGTATGTCCAGATCTACTTGATATCTCTATCTGGACATGACCCAGGCATCTGAACCCCAGGATTCCTCAAAGGAAACTTGATTTTTCCTTCCCAGAACATCTCCCAGCTTCACCTCGGAAAAGAGAAGCCAACCCCCAGCGGCTTCTTCAGATCCCCCTTTCTGCCCACCCCAGGTCCAAAACCTCTGCAAGTCTGGCGTCTGGGCTTACCTTCAGAATGTTCCTCCAGTCGGCTGCGTCTCTCCCACTCTGGTGCGGCTGTCCCTCTGCACCAAGCCGCCAGCCTCATGACCCGGATGTCCTCAGAAAATGCCTGCTGCTCCCCCTGCCCTAAGTCATTCCTTGACACCACTCAAGGAGGAGGTATGAAACTCCCTTCAGAGGCTTCTTATTGTACTTAGGATGAAATCCAACCCCTTCCCCCACCATGACATCGGCCTATGCCTGTCTCTTCCCCAGCTGTCCTGTCACCCTGGGCTTTGCACCCTGAACTCTGTTCACGCTGAGTGTTCAGTTCCCAGAGCAGGCCAAATGCCTTCCTGCCTCTGGGCTTCTGTACTTACTCTTCCCTCTGCCTAGAATGCTTTTTCCTAGTTCTCCAAGTGTCTCGGGTACCTCCTCAATTTTAGGTCTCAGTTTTCCTGACCTCCTTATTATTAATATTGTTACTTTCATCCTGTTGTTCTTCATCTTGGCCCCCTGCCCATTCTTTCATGGTATTTCATGGAAATTCATAATTTGTGATTATGTATTTATTAATGTTTCTGTATGTCTTATTTTTTCCCCTTTTTCACTGGGCAGTATGTTCTGGGAGGGAAGGGACGATGTCTGTTTTTTTTCTTTTTTTTTTTTTTTTTATTACCTAGCCCAGGTTAGCACCTGATAAATATGTGTTGAATGGATGGAATGAATTTTGTTTCCCTTAGTTGTCTAACAGTGGGCTGTAGCTGTTATCCTACTGCACTGTCTTCTGTTCAGACCCCTTTGAGTCTTTCCTACTCCATTTTCTTCCGGTGAACCCTATTCTACCCCATTCTAGTCTGTTCTACCCCATTCTAGTCTGTTCTACCCCATTCTAGTCTGTTCTACCTCCTCTGTTCCATCCTGGTTAATTCTGTTCCAGCCTGTCCTGGTCTAGTTCTAACTGTCTTGTCTCCATCCGCTTTTATTCTGTTCCATGCTGTTCCAGTCTATTCTGTTTTCTCCACCCCCCCTTTCTTTCCATCTGAACCACACTCTTCTTCTTGGTTCTATTCTATTGCATTCTGTTGCGGTTCCTTCCCCTTGCTCATTCTGAGAGATCTAGTCTCATTTTGCCCCATTTCATTTTAATCTTGCCTCAATGTCTTCCTTAAGGTTTTGGAATACCTGCTTTGTGCTTAGTCTTTTGATAAGAATCTGTGAGATTATGGGAGAAGGAGATGCTATCCTGGGCATGAGAAAGGCCCTCTAAAGGGTGAGTAAATGGTAGAGAGAAAAGAGGTGGTTATGTGGATCCAAGCTGAGCCATGATAGAGAGGATTTGGTGGAGAAGAGAGGATGACAGCACGAGAGAAAGCCGGTAATGGGCCTAGGTGTTGGTGACACACTGAGGACACCAGCCTGAGAAATTTAGGAGGGAAACTAGGGTTAGCACAAGCAAAGGGTAGTGAGGAATGAGAGGTAAAGGGGCAATGGAAGATTGGTCTCCTACTGACTGGCTCATTGTTTTGATGTTTTTAAACAGGGATCCTCTCATGGTTTGAAGATGGCTGTTGGGACACCATCTGGCCTCATGACATCAGGCGAGGCAGTGTGGTCCAGTAGAATGAGAATCCCTGGGTAAGTTGTTTGGCCCCTCTGGGCCTCAGTTTCCATATCTATAGAATGGGAATAATAACACCTATTTTGAGTTTTAGGAGGAGAAACAACTTAGCCTCCTATGCTGAGGGTTGGATAAGCATTCAGCCCAGAGCCTGAACTGTCATAGGATCTCAGTAAATGTTCATTGTCTCTCATCTCACCCTGTCTACTGAGTAGTCCACACTTATTTTATGAGGTTAGCCCTGAGCCTCAGTTTTCCCAGCAATGAAATGGAGACAGTGGAACCAGCACAAGGTGTTAGAGGGGCACTAGACAGCAAGTTAATGTTCTTGCTTTGAGCTTGAAGAGACCAGATGCACCATTAGTATTTGTTGATTGAATGGTTGATTGTAGCTTCCTTACAACCACCATAATAACACTTAGCACAGGGCTGGGAACCCTGGAGGTACTTTGTAAATACCCAGGGACTTGAAGCAAATGTGAAAGAACCTGCCAAAAGGGCAGGTGGATTACCCCTTTCCAGTGCACACCAGGCCGGGTGGGATGCTGGGGCTGAGCCCATGAAATTTATACCAGACTTCCAAACATATTCAGAACCAGGGAATTAGGAGACAATGGAGGAGGCTGCCAAAAAGAATTTATCTTGGAAGTGGAGCTTGGGGAATAGCACTAATATTTTCGGAAATTGAAACTCCAACCATGAAATTGCCTATCATTTATCATACATGGTCTCTCAAAGGGGAAACGGAAAAGCATTTAGTCTTATTGCTTTTTAAACACATGATTGCTGAGCACAGCCATCCAGGCTGTGGTTTTAAGAGCTGATGTGTCTGACGGGGTCCTGCCAGCATGTCCCCGCAGTGTCATGCAAGGCCGAGCTCTGTAGACTGTCCCGTGTCAAACACCCTGGGCTGCACACGGGGAGGGTCCCACCCATGGCCACTGGGTGCCATGCGAATTTGGGCATGTGTCAGAACCCCCGATCTTCCCCAGGCCCTTCTTAATGCCCAGCAGTCATCTCACTGTTAAAGGCTTCACTACTTTTAGCTTCAGGATTCCCTTTGCAAGGGTCCCACTGTGTCCACCACGTCCACCCTACCTGCTGATGACCATCCCACGGCTTCTAGGCTTCCTTGGGTGGAATGGCCACAGGTTGAACCCATGCACTATGCACCATCTTCCCATGCCCCTGGCCAGCCTCCTGGCTTCCCCTGCTTGGTGAAAGGGCATCCCATTGCCTTGATAGGTGGGATCAGCTCTGGGGCATGGACACACGGTCACTCAAACATATCCAGTGGTTTACAGGCGGCATTCGGCTGTCCTGTGGCTCATCCCAGCTGATAGCCCCAGTAGGGGTGGGTCCTGAGTAGCAGCCTTTGCATGGGGGTGGAGCACTGTTTCTTTGTGCTATCTATTTGAGATGGTGAAGTGGGAGAGAGAAGCCATGGATCAGCATGGCCTAAAGCCCTCTTCAGTCACCCTCCTGCTCCCAATAACCTTGCAGGGAAGACAGGGACTGCGAAATTATTGTCACCACTTACAGATAGAGATCCTGAGGTTGCATGAGCATGTGTAAGTCATCCGAGGGCACAACAGAAGTGCTGATGTGAGATTCTGACCCAGGCCTTCTGACGTCCAGCACTGTGTTCCTTCTCCGGTGCAGAGAAGGGCCCCAGGACAATGGCATATGCTGATAGAAAGTCAGAGGACATGAGCTCTTGCTCCCCTCCTGTGCTGCCAGCTGCTGCCCGCTGCTCCATACCTGGGTGGGCCCTGGGGAAGTGGGGGTGATCATGGGGCAGCATTTCCTGGAACTCCCATGTTCCCCCTGGCCATCACGCTCTCGCCCGTGGCTTTAGACAGCAGCTCTGCGCTGCTGGTGTTCATACCCCCACCTCCACTGAGCTTGGTGGCGGATTGGCACCAGCCTCGTGGATGCCTCCCCCTGGAAGTCCTCCAGGTACCACCAAGTTGAACACACTTGTTCTTGGGGAATTCTAAGTCCCATCTTGGAAATCTTCACATCTAGACCTTGTTAACTTCGTTCCCACTGGAAAGGCCTTTTGAGTGAGGTTTTATTGATTTTTCTCTCATGTTTCTTCAAGACTCACCACCAGAAATGGCTCTGTGATGAATGTGTCTTTGTAACGTTGTCAGTGTTCTGCTTTGTCTTTGATGCTATGATTGCTTCTCCTAAGACTCTTTCACACAAATGCCTGCTCCGACCCAGTCCTGGCCGGTGCTGGGGGTGGGTGGACTTGAAATCTCTTGCCATCGTAACTTTTTCCATTTATTAAACATCAAGCCTCAAAAGTTTCCCCGTATGTCTTGGTTACCAAGAAGCTCAGAACATAATGAAATGCTCAATCCCGGTCATTTTATTAACCCACACTATAATCTATATTCTTCTTCTCTTTGTACATTTTTTTTATTGTGGTAAAATATATGCAACATGAAACTTGCCATTTTAACCATTTCTCAGCGTACGGTTCCGTGGTGTTAAGTGCCTTCATATTTCGCAACCAGTAACCGCACCCTCCTCTAGAATTCTTTTTATCTTCCCCAACTGAAACTCTGTGCCCATTAAACACGAACTCCCTACCCTACCCACCTCCAGCCCCTGACTATGGCCATTCTACTTTCTGTCTCGATGAATTTGCCTAGTCTAGGCACCTGCTACCAGTGAAACCAGAGGCTCTTAGCTCTTTTGTAACCGACTTGTTTCACTTAGCATAATGCCTTCAAGGTTCTTCTATGTCACAGCCTGGATCAGGATTTCCTTCCTTTGTAAGGCTGAGTGCTATTCCTCTGGACGTGTGTCCCACATTTTGTTTATCCATTCATTTGTCGATGTGCTTGGGTGGCTCCCACTTTTCTTGGCTATTGCAAACTCGGCTTCTAGGGACACGGTTATATGATGATCTGTTCGAGTCCCAGCTCCAGTGTTTTGGTGTATATGTCGGCATGTCAATTTTAATTTCTTGTTCTAACAGCTTTATTGGCTATATGCCTGTCAACATGAGAAGCAAATACACCTAACCTGTTTTGACCAGCACAGTGTGTCTGCCCTCGTCCTAGGTCCTTCACCTATGCTTCTCTTTTGATTTATATTCATCTCTATTTTACAGTTGAGAAATTGCTTCTTTTTGGAAGAAGGAGGTGTAACGATGATCACAAAGCTATTAACTAATGAATCGAGCTGCCTCTGTATTCCTCAGCCCACAGCAATGTGACTCCCTCCACCCCTGATTCGATGGCAGTGCTTCCACAAGGTCTTCAGGTACCCTCTGGCAGCCAAACCAGTGAAAGCCAGACCTGCGGCTGCTACCAGCTCCATGACCCCCAGTCCTTCCTGAACCTTCCTTCTTGGTGTCTGGGATACCACCCTGTCCTGATTTCTTTCCCTGGCTGTCTCTTTGTGGGTCCTTTCTCTCCACTGACCTTTAAAGGCAGGCAGTCTCCATGGCTCCGTCCTGGAGTAGCCGCTCTTCTTAACTTGGCATGACGTTTCCGGGTGACTCCCTGGTCTTTATGTCATTGCGGTCACTGCCTCACCTGGCAGAGGGATCCCCAGTCTCTATCTCTAGCCCTGGGCCTCCCCACCCTAGGCATCCCACCTGCACATCTAGCTGCCAGATCAGTGCATCTCTCCCTAGAATGCTCCACGGTGAGCTTAAACTCAACATGGCCCCCGTCCCCTGTGAAGTTCATTACCGCCCGCCCCACCCACTGCCCCATCTACCCAGCCACCAACCGATTAACTATATTTCCGTTTATCATCCTGCCTCTCCAATCTTACCTCCTTGGTATTTCTTTTATTTTTTTTTAAAGATTTTATTTATTTATTTGACAGACAGAGATCACAGGTAGGCAGAGAGGCAGGCAGAGAGAGGGGGGAGAAGCAGGCTCCCCGCTGAGCAGAGAGCCTGATGCGGGGCTCCATCCCAGGACCTTGGGATCATGACCCGAGCCGAAGGCAGAGGCTTAACCCACTGAGCCACCCAGGCTCCCCCCTTCTTGGTATTTCTAAGGCTGGCCGTTCTTTAGTCCTCTTTCCAAGATCAGGCCTCATCTTTCCTTGCCCGGAGGGTCCGAGCTGGCTGGAGACGGGTCTTCCCCTTTAGTCTTGCCCTGTTCCAATTCATCTTCCCCAGCTGTCGGATGAGCTTAGCTCACACACAGAGCTGGCTGTGCCCCTGCTGTACTCGCAGCCCTCTGGGGGGCTCCTTGGTATTGACAGGACAAAGTCTGGGCTCTGAGGTTGGCATTTACACCTCCACAGCCCGGCCCTTTGCTCCCCCCCAGCCGGCCTTGCCTCTGTGTGGTCCATCCTTTCCTTGATGGAGTATACCTACCACGTGCCAGCTGCGAGGGGCAGGTGGTGGTGGGGCTGAGAGCAGGGTGCTTGCTGCTGGGGGAGGGTGAGAGAGACGGTCACCAATCCGGGGTCACCCAGTCTAATATGTTTCATGATGGGAAAGCATGGGGGGTAAGGAGTATTCCATACCAGACGATGGACATGCTTGGCCCCTTAGTCCTGATAGTGATTCTACATCCCTCCTCTGTCTCTGCCCTCTGGCGAACTCAGGCCTCCCTGACTTCTCCTCTACACCTCTTCCATGTCCTCCTAAT